TGCAAAGCACATACCGATTGTGGCCACTGCACTTGTAAATCTATCAAGTGCAATTTGCGCGTCCTCCATACATTCGAACAGGCAGACGATATTATCGGTGTACTCCAAATCGCATAACTTTTCTCCAGCTGTCCATTCAATACCTACGTTTTGGAGTCCCCTTAGTGCGCTCTCCAGTATTTCGTCTACGACGAAATTGAACGAATTGTTTGTGGGAGCTTCGGGGTAATTATGTAGGCGGCCAGGATGCGGCACTTAATCCCATCAGATCGACGGCTGCGGACTAAGTAGAGTGGTCGAAACGCCTCGAGCACATTGACTAAGTGATTTGATTCCACTGGGTGTGAAACGATCAAGCTTTTGATACTCTTAATCACTCCACTATTCTGCAATCACTTGTTTGGCAGACTGAAGTTTTATGTTGAGATTGCACAATTTACTTTGCCTTATATGTTCATTCGGTGGACTCCGGTGAATTTTAAGGAAGACCTGTCAGGGCAGTCAGCCTACATGCTAACTGGTGGATGACATATGCCTCTAAGTTGTATGGCTAATTCGAATGTGAAAAGATCTGTACCATCGGTGTGACCTCGTAGCTCAGCTGGTAGAGCGTGCACTATACAAAAGCGTGGGCGGCGTCGCACCGAGGCTACTGGACTTTTCACAATATCAGCATAAAACTCCACTATTCAACCTGGCTGGATGGTGCTCACCGACTCGTTCAGATAAACGTCTGCTCGTGCGGCTAATATACCTTGTCCCACAGGAATAGGTAACCAAGACGGCAGAAACAGACAATTTGCCTTTGGGTTGAAAGCAAAAACGTGGCCCGGAGATGAACACAATGGGCAGTTTTGCTGCGGAGAATGCTTTTCCTATAACTGCACTCAGTTTACGTGTCACCATCTCGGGAGTTGTGTTGCCGTTGAAAGGTAGCGATATGTAAACCGGTGACGCCTGAAAATGTTGTTCGCAAATCGCTCCGGGTGTCCGTTTTGGAATAAACCTCCGTTCTGTCTGAGTGGTATAATTTGTACATAATCTCCGCACCCTGGAAGCTAAGCGCTGAATCATATTTCTTTTCCGTTCCAAAGGCACATAGCTTCTGAAATGGATATACCGGGTATTCCACGATCGCTTTTTGTGGATGGCGCGTTGGATAGTTCCGTCTGGTCGGCGGCTTAGTAGAACGTCCAGAAATGCGATCTGATCATCCTCTTCGTTCTCTAGATTAAGTTTTGTTTGAATGAACGGAGTTAACTACTTTCAAAAGTTCTGACAAACTCATTGCCATCGACAGAACAAAATCAGAACATAGGTAGTAGGGGAACATATGTTTTTAGTGAGTTCTTTCTGAAGTCCGTACAATCACATTTATGTACGAAAAGGTGTTGTGTTGGGGTCAAACAGTAGAGATAAAATAATTATAGCAACGGAGTGGGAGATAAGAACAAAATGTCATTCACATATCGCTCGTAAAATGCGTAACGGTCTATTGTTCGTTTGAGGATGTTATTCTCCACCACATCGACGAAGATATCCGCGAACAGTGGACCCAGAGGGGATCCCGTTGCTACCCCATCTACTTGGCGATAAACTTCGCCACTGAATTCGAATTGTATGTTGTGTGTGCATAAGTAATAGTGTTATGATTCCAGAAGACGGTGCCCGTCGAGGATAACTGTTTGTTGAGGATTTCAGATGGGTATCACTAATTTGCCATACATACCACAAAACATCTCATCAGAAATGCTTCATCGCCGTTCCTGGTGGCAAACCAGGTAATGCATAATGCAGTCGATAGTTATTCTTTCAAACATATCACTTGGCCCTCGGTGGCCTTGATCATTGGTCATTGATCATTGAAAGAAATCACCAACTATGTTGCCTACTACTCAAAAGTGAGTAGTAACTCACAACAATAACAATCGCATTCTGACCACAGCGGAAGCGATCGGAATCCGTCCACATGTGATGTGTTAACCTTTAGAAGAATCCACGCAAGCAACATTGTTCGCTACTGTATTTTTTATTACAATATTATTTATCTCATAACGGTTGATTTCGATTCTTACCGTCTAACTTTAAACAATGTAATGTGGGATTTCAAGTAAAGTGCAACAACCTGTATATTCTTTGCATTTCTGAATGCAGTATGCTTCTCATGATAGAAGAAGGGCTCATATTACACAAGTCCATATATATGTATATACATATATATATAATGTCTTATATTTGCTTTGTTATGCTTAGCGCGCGAGAGAAAAAGAAAGGTGATGAGTAAGCGAGTGGGTGTCATTGGGTCAATCGGTCAGCAAGGAGTTTACTGGTGTGATATAAACGCACAGGGGTAGTCCCACGATCGATTCTCATACCGAGCATGAGTGTCACATCAGAGATTCTGATCAAGTTGAATGCACATCCAATGCCACTAGTGGTATGGTGCATTGCTGTTTGACTTTTTATTTGTAAAACTCTTCCATTCTGCACTGCATTAAATTAGATGGTGATAGTGATCTACTCACTGTATTATGGTATCACATATTAGGGGTAGCGTTGAGAAACATACCGATGTTGCTTCATCGTATCAGATTAGAATCTTTAACGGGTATTGGAATGTTAATTTCTCTTCACGACTGCTGGTGAAAGTGCAAGTGTGTGCTATGTCATATCAATGAAACCTTCATGGCAGATCACATCAGGTCACGGGAATTTCGGCTTTTTGGTCAAGGTATGTCCAGTTTAGTGCACTTGTAAGCTAAGCCGTGCTCCCTAAGGAGTGGTGGGATGTAGTGAGAGTAGTGCATGTGGTGAGTCATGCGAAAAGGGTGTGCGAGGTGGAAGAGAAAAGGCTGAGTAAGGGTTACGTATCACTCTACATGTAGGCAGTCCTACTCCGAAACCACCTTGTCCCAGCAATCCTTTATACTTTAGTGGAATTTCTCATCAGAGACTGCCGCCACCGCCACCACCATCACCACGCATAGTAATTTATTCCACTCATTTGCAAAACGATGTTGATCTTCAAAATCATTCATTATCATTAACTGCTATTGGTTCTCAAATTATTCACAAGATACATTTAAGAAGTCGATCTCGGTGAATATGTCAGAGAAATCCCATTCCTCACGCTGACCAATGCATTCCTGTGTCCGTGTCCTTTAACAATTCACAACTTAATCTTACGAGGCAACCAACCAGGCATGAATGATGAATGGGATTCGGGTTTGGTAAATGTGTGTTAGCCGAAGCAGAAATCGCGTCTGAGGATTTCTGTACTCCTGCATTTTGGACAGTGGAATGGGTATTCTGATATGCACAATTGTTGTTCTCTGCAAACTGTGAGTCACCGCCATCAGATTTTAAGATGGATCATGATTTGGCGGTTCAAATACCATGACACCATTGTGGTAACAGGTTAATAAGGGACGTAACGTTATTTTCCCTGTGAAATTCGGCAAGAAGTGGTGCATGCCACACTGTTCAGCCACATTGCGTTTTCTGTGCTGATCGTTACTTCTGATGATGATGATGATGATGATGATTTGCGAATTGTTTTGATCAGAGCGTTCGTTCCATGTGAATAGATCGATCAACTGAAAGCATGACAAAAAGGACTGTTCAGTTATTTTTATCAGAAAATCGTGAGAAAATGTGCTTATTTTTATACTCATTCTAAACGAAAATGTGCTTTAAATTCGACTTTACACTTTTCTTTGTCTGAGTATCAGCAAAGTAATGGACCAGGAATTAAGTGAAAATAAACGTAGACCGTGAACCAACACCGTGCTTGGTTTAAGAAGGAGACTTTTTATTATTGTAGATGTATATATTTAAAAAAGTGATAGAAAAAAAATGTGTATGGTAGTCAAAAATGGTTTTGATTTATTCCAAATTGTCATCTATCCAAATTATGATACCAAGTGCAGTGTTCGTTCTCAAAAATGATACCCGACAGGGTGAACTATGATTTGGTCTACGTTCGTATAATATTGATCAAAGACGGAACTGCTGAGACCGAACAGTGTGTAATACATTCAAAGAACAATAATCAATAATTGCTCCCTTATGTTTCCCGATCAAACTTTATTTGCAGAGGTTATGGACAAGGAACCATTGTTTCATCGGGACATGGAAGCCATTCGGATGTTGATCTCCGCACTCCGTTCCCATTTCTCACCGGAAACGGTTGCTCATGAGTGTATGCAAATGAGTTACGCAGAGATCGATTCGCATAGCTCTCATCACACAACACGTGTCGGGACCCAGTCTGTTTGTCATGCCACCACTGGATCAGAGACACTCTCCCCCCACCGATTCAACCCCATGCACGCTGTTCGAGGTGCTCATTCGAGCGAGGATTGTACCGTGATCGCTATTCCACGTGAAATCTGCGTTCGACAAACCCCACGACCGTCCACAATTGGACGACTGTGGGCTTTGGGCGGGAAAACCATGGTGACAACACGAGCATTACAGGAAATCCTTGTGAGATTACTGATGAGCATTGATGTATGATTGTATTGAAAGCACTAAATTGAGGGAATTAAAAGATGAGATCCATACTGGGTAATGTGTTCGAACCACACAGTTCCCATCTAATTTTCACCAGCTACTATCACGTATCCGGTATTTAGTTCCCCCTCATCGAGTCGATACTAATTCCAGTTAGCATCGGACAGTAACTTTCAGTTCCCTTATGCTGTCACTTTAGCGATAGTTCATACAGCTCATGATGCGCGAAATTCCTAGTCATTTGGACGCTAGTCTTCACACGAGTTTGTATTGGTATAAGGGAGGTATTTTGTTCTTAAGTTGCACAATGCAGGTAAAGCAAACTCCTGGAGGTGTAAAAAATGCATTCAATTTGAGAAAGACAACGATGATTCCGGCTAGATTTCCTCCGGATCACACCAGAGCCAGTAATTTATTCGCGTTCATCACGGATTCGAATGATTTACCAGTCAGATAGATTATTCTGCTGNTTACCATATGATTCCATATTGCTTGGTTGTAATACCTAATTATGATGATACTATTTTTGACTCTACTGATCCGATAAACATACGTCGGCAGGTTTTAGGAGGGAGCATAAAGTTACTCAAGTTACTCTAAAAACGGGATGGCTTTGCTTAAACACGTAACTTCCGTGATGTTAATCGTTTTTAATCATCGCTAAGATTTGATTATTTTCATTGGTGTGACTCTTTGGTGATGCGCCCAGTTTGTGACCCTACCAGAATTCCACCAGCGAATCCTGAACCAAACGAGTCAATGCTCCTCAAAAAGACTTATTTTGCCTAATAAA